ATATCTTGTTTAAAGAAATGTTAAAGATCAGAAAGCTTAGAAATAAATGCAGAGCTGAAATAAATGATTCGATGTTTTCGTAATAAATTATCGATTTAAGGTGAACTAATCGGTTATTTATTTCATTAAAATTATAAGTGTTCAAAATGACCTCCAGCTACTTCGATATATGTTCGTGCTCTTTTCTGCACGTAACTCTTTGAATCTCATTATTATCGATTCTTTCCATAGTGCGGAGTACTAATTCCGTCATCTCGTCAACTGTGTCGATATTTTTATGCATACTTTTTCTTTGATTGCTCCCCAAAGGAAAAAGTCGCATCGATTGTAGTCCGGAGATCAAGCAGACCACGGAGTTACTGAACCTTTCCCAAAACCATTCAGGAAAAGTTTCATCAAGATAACGGCGGATCATACCTTTAAATAAGATTTGAAGTTAATATGATAGTTTAATTCATAATTGCACTTGAATATGGTATGGTATGGTCCGCCGTTATCTTAATGAAACTTTTCCTGAATGGTTCGGGAAAGGTTCAGTAACTCATTTATTTCAGCTCTACATTTATTTCTGCACTTTCTGATCTTTAACATTTCTTTAAATAAAGTGTAAAGAGAAGGAGAGGGAGAGAGAGATGGAGAGGGGGAGGGGAGGGGAGACAGAGAGAGAGAGAGAGAGAGAGAGAATAATTACAACCGCTTCGCTGCTCATCGTCATTCTCCTTCCGCTGCGAATTCGTCAGTTTCACTCCGCTTTGCTACGTCCCTGTTTTCCTTCTATACTCGGGCGCTAATTCGCTAACTTTAACTTCGTATAACAACAAACCGAAAGCTCAGATCAAAAAATGACTCAGGACTTTTCTACTTGGATTTTCGTCTTTTATCTCATGGTATACTCCATATACGTTTTTTTAGTTACACCCTGTATATGTATATATGTATGTATTTATATATATTTGTATATAGTTCCAAATTAATTTTTTAAATAAATGTATATATACTAACCTGCAAAAATATGGGTTACTAAAATTTAGTACAAGTTTTTAACATTAATATAACTTAGCAAAAAAATTGTATTGAGACGAATAGTAGCTCAAATTAAAATTATGAAAATTCTCTTGACAAAGGAGAAAATAAAAATTGAAAAATTTTTATAAAATGGCGGAGATTGAGGAGACTTTTTTTTATAAAAAATTTAAGTTTTTAAATTCATTCATTTTCTAATAAATCAATATTTTAAACATTTTTCAACAATTTTAAAATAAAGTTATATTATTTTTGAGAACTGCAATGTTACAAAATGACCTTTTTTTGGTAAAATCTATAACTCAAACACAAATTATAGTAGAAAATTTTTATGAAAAGGATAATTAAAATATAAACTTTCAATTTTTAAAAACGTATAATAAATCAACCTGACTAAGACTCCTTATAAATCAGAAAACAAGGAAAGAACAAGGGCAATAGGAGTCAAGCGCGGGAGACGTTGCGCAAATAACACTATCGTAGCGTAAAACTTTTTTACTTTACTAAAGCGCTTACATGTTTCGGCTCATTTTTGAGCCTTCTTCAGAGACAACTAATAAACTCACATATATAGAATATAACAATTATTAACTAGTCATCGTGATCTTCCTCACCTCGAAAGTATAAATGCCAGAATTAAATCCAGATAAGAATGCAATAAAGAAAAAAAGGAAAGAAATTTTGAAAATCTCGAAATAAAGAAAATGTAAAACTAATGTATCAAAAAATTTTGAAATTATAATTAATTCCAATGGTTAGGTAGCTCACCCTGATCACAAGATACCGCATCGCAAACATTACTCTAATAATTCAAAAACCGGTTTCTGATAAGTTGGCCAGTCAGTGTCAGACACAGTTAGTCTCTTTTTGATTTAGTTGGTCTTTATTGAGACAGTAATTAGAAAACTAGCGTTAAAAAGTTAATCAAAATCAAGAAAAGAAATTTTGAAAATGAACTAAAGTCAACGCCCGACAGACTTCTTGTGTACGAGCGACACTGACTGACTAAGCGCGACAACAATTCGACTTTTTATAGTCTATCAATGATGATGAATGGGAGGTAGGCCTTGGGAAGCCCCTCCATATCCGTTTGCATGTTAAGTCCATGCGTCTGTTTCCTGATGAATATCATTTCCGAAGTCAATCTCTTCCGGTAGTGTGGTTCCTCGTCCAGTATTGCAACGTTGTCCCAATCGAACTCATGTCCCTCTTGCAACCGATGCTCCGTTATAACGTTGCGGGTAGACGTGTTCCATCGGATATGGTTCTTGTGTTCCGTGATTCTTGTTTTTAGTTGTCTACACGTCTGTCCCACATAACTCGCATCACAGTTCTTACAAGAAATCTTGTAAACTATATTCGACCTATTATTACGCGGTAAAGGATCCTTCTGTACCCTAATGAATTCTCGTAATTTGTTAATGCTATAAAACGACACCCTCATATGATCGCTCTTTAATCTATTAAACTTCTCAGTAATACCCCGAACGAAAGGAACTGTAAACTACGAAGGCTGTACTACATCCACGCTATTCTCCCTAACCACATCTTTTCTATTACTAGCCATGATAACGCTCTTCAACCGGTTGCTAATGTTCTCAAATATAAAGTCTAATGGATAATCATTCCCTAACAATACTTCAATTATGAAAACAAAGTTACTAAAGTGAAATTTGGGATTCGAAAGAAGAACTACTCTATCAACTAATCCCGCGACTGTGCCTATTTTTTGAGAAACCGGGTGCTGTGACCAGAAGTTCAAGTATCTACCTGAAAACGTCGGCTTGTGGTATCAGTCGAACTCTATCGCCTCATTATCCCTAATCACTGTAACATCCAGAAAATTCAATCTATCATCCCCCACCTCTATAGTAAACTGAAGCCGTGGATGCTGAGAATTAAAAATATCCAGGATGTAATTAACCAAAGAATCTGGGGCCGCCATAATTATATCATGCACATACCTATAGTAAAAAGGCAACGGAAATCGAATCGTAGACAAGGCTCTACTCTCCAAATTTCGCATAACTAAATACGCAATAACCGGCGACAACGGTGAACCCATGGGTGTATCATAATTCTGCTTATATATAACACTATCGAACACAAAGAAAGTAGAATCTAAGACAAACTGCACTGCTTTAATAAATTCCTCCTCCGACAAACAGCAATCTTTAGAGATAAAACACCAATGGTCCTTGATAGAATCCATCGCGTAATCAATGGGGACGTTAGTGAAGAGGCTAACTACATCC